ATTTTTCTTATGCATAATGTCAGGGAATATAGTGATGGCAGGATTTCTTCGTGAGCGGTTGATATTTTTCTCTCATTTTTCATGGATGAAACATTGTTTATTTCATTTTATTCCTTTATTAGTTATTTGTTTGGCCAATTTTCATTAGAAATTATATATTTTAAAATGAAATTATTTTTCTATGCAATCTTATCAAAACAAAGCGATCGATTTTACGTAAATTTCTAAGTAATTTCCGAGTGTTTCCGCCTAATTTTTTTTTTTAATTCTCGTGCAAAAATTAAAGATTAAAAAACGTAAATTAACGCCCAGAACAGGTTCCTATTATTTATTTTTCAAGCCGATTTGTATTGAAAATTATTAAATTTTTCTCTTCGATTCTGTGATAGACATCTCATTAAAAAAATTCAATCGATTTCACTGAGATTTGCCAGTTTTTTCAAAAGATTGCCAAAAAAAGGAAATTTAGGTCCAAGAATTTTTTTTAGAATTCCAATAGAATTTCACAACTTTATTTTTAATTTCCGTTTTTTTTTTCAATTTATTCATATCTCTGTTTTTTTATAAATATCTCCATTAATTTCAATTCCTAAGGGGTTCAACAAATAATAAGGCATGAATAATTCACCAATTGTTGCCTGATTATGTTTACAATTATTTGTTTTAATGATAAGTGATTAATTATCAGTTGTTGACGATAGTTGACGAAAAATTAATTCCCCTTCAACGCTCTGTAAATATTTTTTTCTTTAAAATTCAAGGTGAAATTGTCTCTATCAGTACTGCTGTTGTAAAACAATAAAAAGTTTGACTTTAAGTGCCCATAAGTATGGTTTATTTTTAGTATTTATCCAGCTCATCTTTATGGAGGAAATTAACAGTAGTTTGTTTCCGTAAACTGAACTTTCCTCGGTTCGACATTTCATAACTGCACTCTTAATGATGTGCTGATTTTTAATGCGGTTATCCCCAATCGTGCGCGAGGTGGAGTTCGTCAGGAGTGAAGTCGGATAATTATGAAGGCGTATGTGGGATTCTTCCTGGAGTTATCTCAGTCCACCACTTTGGCACTTCGCAACGAATTATTGCGCGTGGAGTTTCTAATTTATGAGGACATTCGGGGAATTTCAGGTTTTTCAAATATTTGAGAATGATAATTTCGTTGAGGAGTAGAATTTTTAACTCGTGGTATTTAATTAGTCATGAATTAGCTTAAGGATTCCCGAACATTTATTAATTATTTTCTTATCATTTTTGTAATTATTTTCCTATTATTTTTTCTTTATTTTTTTTCTTGTTATTTTATTATAATTTCATTGGAATGCTGTTGAAAACTCTATTTATTTCTCATCGATGACATTAAAAACTTTCGTTAAATTTTCTTCAAATCTCTAGAAATTTGATACATTTTTCAATTTCTTGTTATTCAACTTATTCTGCATATCAATTAAAAATGCGCTTTGAAAAAATTAAGAATTTTTTCTACTTGTTTAAAAATATTCATTCATAAGTTTTCAAAACTTCTGCATGATGCAGGACTTAATTGACAATTTCAGATGACGAAAGATGAAAAAAAACATCGAGATAACTTTCGAAAGACAGTACACCCGGGCCCTAATGAAAAATCAAAAAAATATGACCAACAATACAGTGAATAGCATGAATAAATGAGGAAGTAAAATAAATAATCTTAATAACCTCGTCTAAAATAATTAAAATAACAGATCACCCAATTTAATTCCCACGAATCACTCTCTACGCAAAGCCATAACTCTCCAAAAAGCCAATACCAAATGAAAACACCATTGAAACTCGAGTGAAAACACCTGAAGGATGAAAACTCGTTAGGAATTTAGCTTGCACTCGGCTAATCGCATTGGACCGGTTCGTGGTCAAGCGATAACTCCAATTCTTTTTCACTCCCCTTAAATCCTTTTTTCATTTATCTCCAAAGTGGGACTTTGCAACGCTTTCCAACGTGTTGTTCGTTGTGTTTCAGTTATCACGAAGATATATGATCAAAATACATCATTTTTTGCTCTGTGTTCGCTCTTCTCCTACAGCTCCTCCTCTCCTACTTTTAGGGGTGCGAGAAACTAGTTTTTTTCACTTTTATGATATTTTTAATTTCATTTTTTTTAAATTTTCGGCGCTCAGTAGCTGGGGATTTGTACCATTCATTACAAATTTTATTTCATTTTTCAATACCTTTCATGGAAGATTTATTCGGAATCAATTCATTATTAATTTCACACACTCAAAACATTTTCATTGAAATAAATACGTGAGTCTATTAATTAAAATAAAATTATGTAGTGATGTATGTATGTATTTTTTGTTGGTTTCCCTTGGGGTTACAAGAATATTTAATAAATGAATTTAAAAAAATGAAGAGTTTTATTCGCTGCATGCACCGTATGCATTTTCCCACTTTTTTTACTTTTTTTCCTTAATTGATCAGGTAATCCTGCAATTACTCTTTAAAATTGGGGGTCGGAAGAGGGGACTGGCTTCCGGTGTCGCACATTTCGATGACAAGTCACGTTGAATTAAATAAATTAATGACTTGAATAAGTGCATTTTGCGAAAGAATTCGAAGTGAAGCGGTTATTAAAACCTAAAATAGATTTTCATTCCCATGAAATGAATATTTTTTTGCAGACATCAATAATTAAACAATTTACTAATTATAAAAGAAATCCTTGGTTATTTTTTCGGAACAAATAAATCGTTCACTGGACTCTCATAAAGAATTTCTTCGCAATTAATTCATGATTAATTTCATCTCCTCAAAACCATTAAAAATAAATTTCAGTTAATTTCATATTTAATTTTATTGAAACAAATATGTGAGATTATCAATTGAAAAAAAATTGTTCAAACGAATAACAGAAAATGAATAGTTTTAACCGTCGGATGCACCGCCCGCAGTTCGTCTCAATAAACATCACTAATTAAATAATTAATTAATTATAAAACAAATGATTGTTCATTTACTCGCAACAAATAAATCGTTCACTTGACTCTCATAAAGAATCTATTCGCAATTAATTCATGATTAATTTCATCCCCTCAAAAATATTGAAAATAATCTTCATTTAATTCCATGTGATTTCATTGAAACAAATATGTGAGATTATTAATTTTAACACATTGTTTACATGAATAAAAAAAATTGAATAGTTTTAACCGCTGGATGCACCGTCCGCAGTTCCTCTCAATTGATCAGGTAATCCTGCAATCACTCATTAAAATTGAGGATAGGAAGAGGGTATTGGCTTCCGGTGTCGCACATCTCCATGGGAGGTCATGTTGAAGATGGTATAATCGTGTGGCATTCGGCTAGTGAGAACGAAATTCTCAAGCCACCACTGGCACACAAGTCTGACCCACTTCGGACTACTTTCACTGGTATGTACCTCAGCGACGCTGTACGAATAAGGTGATAGAGAGAGAAAGAGGAAGCGCGAGTCGGAGGGTGAGAGAGAGAGGGAGGTGGCATGAAAATGAATAAAATGAATGGAAGAAATGTGTGATGCAAAAGGGCCCCAGATCTAGTCGACTTGTGGTTTCCCTTTTTTTCCCCTGTTTCACTTTTTAGTTTCATTCCCACAGATGATACTTTCTCACGATGTTTGTGATTGAGTGATTTTTTTTCTCGGCGAAGAGTGAGGATTAGAAATGTCTTGGAGGATTCGGGATAATTTAGTATCTTGCCGAGTTGCAGTCGCTCTTTACGACGATTTCTTCATACTTTGACTTTGAAAGACAATGATTCTTCTAATTTGATGCTCTGAGAAAAAAAATTAACTCTGCCAAAACTAGGGGAGAACGGGGGAAAGTGAAACAGTCGAAAAACGGCCGTTTGACGCAATTCAAGTAAACAATTTTTTTATTGAATTTTTTTTCAGAGCAAGGCCCAGGGGGAGACCCAGAGGGGGAAAAAGGAAAAGGTGATGCTGAATTTCGATCGAATGGAAAAAGAATTATTGAATTATATTCAAGTGAATTATAAGACGAATCGAAAATTATTATTCTCATCAGTACTCCCAATAATAAATAAAAGTTAATAAACGAAAGTTGATGAAAATTTTTTTTTTGCTTGAATTGCGTCGAATAGTCGTTTTTCAGCTGTTTCATTTTGCCCCACTCTCCGAGAATACAGCAATTCAGAGAAATTCGGAATCGTATTTTTCGAAATGTAAAAAAAAATTGAAGAGTATAAAAAATTGCATAAATGCAGGGAAAACTCTGCGCTGTGAATCCCGAACCAAAATGGAATGCAAAAATCTGAAAGATGACTTAGATTTTTTTTTAGAAATATAGACATAGTCAAAGCTATTCTGAAAAGGATAATACATAATTTTAAGAAATGAGTAAATAATTATCGAGTAGTATTAAGAAACGTTTGAAAATGCGCGGTAGTGGCGCCGCCGTTTTCGGGTATCCGCGCAAGATGGCGGCGCGCACACCCGACTGCCACCTCGTATTTTTAAACATTCTTTAAAATTATTTATCCTGTTTGAATCAACTTCAACTCGTTTCACCCAGTTCCTAGAAAAAGAACAAATTTCTCAAGCTATCCTCCAGTTTTTTCATCCCCTTTTGGCTGAGAATTCATGGCGCAAATTTTTTTCCGCATTTCAGTTGTCTTGTTCCTAGTCTCGAAGCCTATTAATTTCCGTCGAGTTAACTTCATGCCGACATGTATGAAAAATTGAATCAGCAATTCTGTGCATTCGTTACAGAATTCTTCCATTTAAAAAAAACTTTTTCAATTTTAATTCTTTCCTCCAAATTATTCGATTGAAATTACTCGGCGTAAATTTTATAAATTTTTCCACGACATCATCTTTCATTAACAAACATTTAATAAAAAAAAAATTTAACGTATTTCATTTACAACGAATAGGGATGAGGATGAGGATATTAATGAAAATTTTCGCAGTTCGTGGGTTTTGATATGATACATTTATTTTTCCTCTGGAATCCGGGGAAATTCAGCAGCTTATCGAATTGCAGTCTTTCTTCTTCACACTTGTGAATATCTCGGAGAGACCGTTTCGACGGGCTTCCTCATCCGTTGACCTTGAAAGAATATGATTTATCAGATTTGATCGATGGAAGTTTTCTCGTCATGTTCTACTGGAATTGACTGAATAATATTCTCACTTGATGGCGAAATTCCAGAGAATACTGGGAATGAGCTCAGCATCGCTGTCGCCTCCGCTGAGAATAATTTCGCAAAGCGATCTGTCCTCACAAGTATCGTCTACGTCTTGCTTGTGCTCCAATGGCAGGTCAATACCCCTCCACTTCGACAGCACTATACTTGGCTGTCTGAAGGGCATCAAAATAGCGTGTGAAATGGGTAATAAATTTTCTAATTTTATTATTTTGTTTGTTTCATAAAAAATATCAAAAATTTTCGCCGGGAGGGAATAATAACGTCACAACTTCGCACACTTCGTAGTTGTCTAACTAGGAGGCGCTACTTCCATTCTAGTGTCATGAATAAAGTGACGTTTATCATCGGTGGTGTACATTGATTTTTTTCTCTACTGGCGTGTTGATGCCCTTTCATTATGCCCTTTTTCATGTCAGATTCGATGTTCCTTTGCTCAATTAATCGTTTATAATCATTCAATTAAAAATTTTCAATATAAGTTCAATAGAAATCCAACAGAATTTTCTAACGAATTAACTAGGTTTTTCTATTAAATTTTTTCATCCTTGAAGAGAGAAAAATCTTAAAGATGGATTAAAAAATTTGTTCATTTCAATTCGATTCTTTCGTCCGTGTAGCTAGTGGCGCTAGTAGCCTATCGTAAAAAGGCGGAAGGAAATCGATCTCGATATATCTCGAAACTCTTGAATATGCGTAAGCGTAGGACTGAAACCGAAGTCTCGCTAGATGCGGAAGACCCAAGGAAATAAGACGCGTGCGTAGCACGCGCGGCCGATCCCGTATCACAAAATTGAAGAGTGACCACGATCTATTTCATTGGAATATGCCCGTCATATGTTAAGGGGAGATTACTATGAGCTTTAAAAGTCGTGGATTATTGGAGTGAGACTTTTCATACGTTGCAGATCGATTATATAGATCTGAAAACGAATAATTAGTGCAGGAAAAAATTTTTTTATTGTTCATTTGCCCGAAAACGCTTAAAATGCTAAAAACAGTCCAGGGCCTCCGATTTTTGAGCTGCAAAAGATTTTTTTTTTTCAAAATTTTCGGAAAAATGTGTAAAACAACAATTACCAGTTTTTTGGAATTCGACTCCTACACAGCTGATTTCGTTTTTTTTCATATAAAAAAATTCACTATTTGTGTAAAAAAATACAAAAAATCAAATTTCGCCATGTAAGAGGCGAATTGAAAAAAATAGCTCGTAATTGTTATTCCACATATTTTTCCGAAAATTTTGAAAAAAAAAAATCCTTCGTAGCTCAAAAATTGGAGGCCCTGTACTGTTTTTGTCATTTTAAGCGTTTTCGAACAAACGAACAATAAACAACATTTTTTTTGCACGAATTATTCGTATTCAGATCTATATAATCGATGTTCAACGTATGAAACGTCTCACTCCAATAACCCACGACTTTGAAAACTCATAGTAGTCTCCCCTTAATGCCATCACAATTCGTTGGAAAATTATGATGGCCGAAATAAAAATCTCCATCGTACAAAACCCCAAACTCACGTAGTGTTATTATCAATCTTGACATTCGGCCTGAGTGCCGCCAGAAGCAGTCCGAACGGCAGAAAAGTCCCGAGCAGATGTATCAGCTTCTTCCACGGAGAAACTCTGAAAAACAATGCGCCGAGAAAATGTGAGCGTCACAACGACACCCCGCCGTCATAGAAAACAGAAATAAAGCATAAAAATTCAAGTGGCGTCATGAAATAATCCTCACCCATTGCGCTTACCGTATGTGCTGGGTTGGGAAAGCGTGTCCTTGTTCGATGTAATGGATCGGAGTGTCATCGTTTGGCTGATAATACTTGTACGGAGACTTTCGAGTCTTCATGAGCTGCGTTTCACGGTGGGATGACAGGTACAAGAGGGTTTCCGGCTTCGTCAGGGTCACTTCCGGCCGGTGGACAGGAGGAAGTTGACTGCTGTAATGATAGTAATTGGCTGCTGGCGGGAGGTGTTGATAGTGCATCGGTTCAAATTCGTATTTCGTCTGTTGTTGATGGAGTTGATGAAGGGGTTGATGAGGCTGATGATGATGATGAGGCTCAAGCGCCTGGAGATGCTGATGTCCAGGTTGATGGCCCTGATGATGAGGCTCAAGCGTCTGGAGATGCTGATGAACAGGTTGATGGCCCTGCTGATGAGGCTCGAGGGTCTGCAGGTGTTGGTGAGGTTGAATCGCCTGCAGATGTTGATGAACAGGCTGATGGGGTTGAACTTCAACATTAACGTAATGATTCGGCTCGTCGGGAGAGTAGTATACCGGCGTTGCAGGCACCTCTACAGTCAGATACCCCTCGGCGTAAGCTGGCGAGTGATAATCCTCTTGCCGATGATCGGTATGGTAGTGATGGTGATCGATGTGCGGTCGATAGATCCCTCCGGTGTCGCCATCTAGGCCGATTGATCCCTCGAATCGAACGTGCTGGACGTTGTTGAAGGGAATTGATGTCGATATTCGGGGCTGGGAACTCATTTCTTCTATTTCTCCGAGGTAGACGCTTGGGTTGAAGGCCGCACTTGACGCTCTCAGGGATTGGTCGGGGGGCCTCTCTGAGGTTGATGATGATCGCTGTATTGAGGGTGATAGTAATGATGATGATGTTGAGGGTGAGGGTGATGTTGATACTGGCGATAATAAGGATGATGATGATGATAAGGATGAGGATGATGTCGACAGTTCCTCAAACTCCCTCACGTCCTCGCTCACCGGCGGATTATGATCCTCAGTAGATGATTCAGCGATGACTCCAGTGCTGATCACAATAAGGCACACGAATATTCTTACCGTTATCTTTGCCATCGTTTAATGGGAGCTTTAATTGATACAAATGGGAGAGACGTCCGACGTCTTTCCACCGTTGGCTTCATCCGTGAACTAAACCGTGGCCGTTGGCGTTTCCCATTCTTATCACCTCTTGCGTCGCGTCTCTCGAATTTTTAAAAAGCGTGAAAATCTAATGCAAGTCGGGTAATTTGGCTTAATCGTTGCTCACTCCAATTGTCCGGGTGACATTAATCGCCACACGCGCAGGGAGATGTTTTGTTCCGTCAGCTTACTGTTTTCATTCTCTTTCTTTTTGTTGCGAAACATTTTATTAAGTGCGTCTGCTGTTTTGTTTTCATTCTGCAGTTTTTGAGAGGCTTTTTGAAGCAACAATTACAAATTTTTCGGATTGCTTTCTTTCGGTCTGTGAATTCAGCTAGGAATATAGTGAGAAAACATTCATTTCCTATTTTCTGGGGGTCCTAATTGAGTGGAAAAGTCGTCATCGTCTAAAAATTCAAATTTTTGAATTATTTTCGCACCGCAATTATTCCAACCGTTTCCATTCATCTTTAAAAAAAAAAATATTTTTACGCATAACAAAGTTCTCAAACAAGTCTTTGAGTACGTCAGACTTGTTTGAGAGCGCACTGCTGTTTTTCTTCAGTGCATTCTAACTACACTGTTAGAAAATTAATCTTGAAATTTTTAACAACGAATAATTTACATGGAATTTCCATCGATCTTATTATTGATAAGTCAGTCAATGTTATAACATAACAGGCCCAAGAAAACTAAAACAAACCAGCGAAAGGAAGTGGAATCACGAAAAAATCCTGGAAAAACACTTTCGGCACGCACTTTGAAGCCACTTTGCTGTCCCCATCCT